CCTCTCTTTGGAAGAGCTTTATAGCTCCCGCTGCCTTAAAAAAATTCAAAACATTCTTAAAGATCCATCTCATCCTGGGCAGCCTTTTTTTGAACTATTACCATGTGGCAGATGGTACAGGATAATAAAAACAAGGACAGAGTAGTAACTATATTGAATTCTATGGTACAGTGCAATATGAATGCAATATCGAGTTTTCAATTTCAATTATATAGAATGTGAAGGATGTGCATTTGTGTTTTCATTTTTATACTTATAATGTACACTGAAGATGGCATTTAATTTTGTTGTACGATGTGCAATGACCATAAAGTAAAGTAAACTAAACCCAGAATTTCTGTTGCTAAGTGAGACATTTGTTAAGTGAATTTTGCCCCATTTTACAACCTTTCTTGCAGGTCAATCACTGCAGATGTTACATTAGTAACACGGTTCTTAAGTGAATCTGGCTTCCCCATTGACTTTGCTTGTCAGAAAGTCACAAAAGAGGTTTAGTTTACTTTACTTTATGGTCATTGCACATCGTACAACAAAATTAAATGCCATCTTCAGTGTGCATTATGACTATAAAAATAAAAACACAATCATAGATCCTTCACATGCTATATAATTGAAATTGAACACCCGATATTGCATTAATATTGCACTATACTATAGAATTCAATATGGTTACTGCCCTGGGATAGAAGCTGTTTTTCAGCCTGTTTGTCCTTGTTTTTATTGTCCTGGACCATCTGCCAGATGGTAATAGTTTTAAAAAAAGGGTGCCCAGGATGAGATGGATCTTTAAGAATGTTTTGAACTTTCTTAAGGCAACGGGAGCTATAAAGCTCTTCCAGAGAGGGGAGAGGGCAACCAATGATCCTCTGGGGAATGATGTTAACCCTCTGGAGCGGTGTCCTATCTGCCACTGTGCAATTGGCAAACGATACCCAGGTGCACATGACTCTGGGACACTGCAACTGTCATAAATATGAGTCAGTTGCCAAGTGTCTGAATTTTGATTGTGTGATCATGGGGATACTGTAATGGTCATAAGTGTGAAAAATGATTGTCCCGTTTTTCAGAGCCGTTGTAACTTCGAATGGTCATGAACTGTTGTAAGTCGAGGGTTACCTGTATAATAAAACATTTCATCTGGGCTCACAGTATTTATCACAGTGTGTGTTTTCTTTCTGTCTCTAAGCATTAGGAAGGTTTTTCTTAGTTCATGTTAATGAAATCTCATTAGCTGCACCTCTTTTATTCTTCTGTTGAGCCACCTGTCAGATAAATCACTGACAGTTGGAAATGCAACAAAGGTTGGTTTTCCCCAAAGTTGTCAAAGTTGTCACCTGGCACCAAATGTTCCATCTAGGCACAGAACAAAGCAAACATCTCTATTCAAGCCATTGCTTAGGTAAGCAGCATCTGCTATGAAACATTTCCACTGCTTTTGATTTGCGGAATTAGCAATATATTCCCACTGGATGGGATTTCTGGACAGCTATTATTTTTGAACCAGTAGTATCTGTAACCCACAATCAACCTGCCCAATACATTACAATGGGGCGGTGTTTAACTTAATGCTGCCATCTGTTGTAAAAGACGGCCTGCCATTTCCCCGCCCCCCCTTCATTAAGAGGCCAGGGTCTCAACTTGTTGCTTTTGATGGCAGAAGTCACTGGAATTACTCTCTGCATCTCAGAGGTGTAACACTATCAAAACAAATGGATAAAAGAATGGCCAGGGGATAAAAATGGACCAATAGACTGCAACCTAAGTTTCGTTTGTGGTCTACAGAGCTGGGATTTACTTCCTTCCCTACTGGTTCGGAAATGTGAGCATACTTGTGAGCTTGCTACGCTCACAAGTGTCTTATCTGCGCATGCGCACCATCTTCTGCACATGCGCAGTGCTTGCACATTATGTTGGGATGGGTAGGCAGAGTATCCTGCAGCCACCATTACCAGTTCGTCTGAACTGGAGAGAACTGGCTGAATACTAACTCTGGCCCCCTAGTTCTTCAGGCTCAGGTACTGGTTGTTCAGATCCTGAGCAATCTGCACTTAGAGTTGCATAGAGATTTCTGCTTATCCCTACTTTTGATTCTCTAACAACACAAAGGCTGCTTTTACATCAAAAGTTGAGGGTCTCAACTTTCTGACTTCTGCTGCCGTATTGCTGGTTTGTTGTTCTGTGGTTAATTTTTTTTTTTTAAAAAAAATCTCTCTGAAAATATGAGAGATCAGCTTCATAAGGAGGAAGTGTTCAATCCTCCCTATATAAGTCTTTTTTTTCCAGAATAGATGGCCTTGGTGATCAGAATGAGGTTAGTCAGCAATGTGCACATTTAAGTTTTGGCTGAAGACTCTAGAGAACGTTTTTTTTTCCTTTGCTTAAGCTGGCAGTGGGCGATCTTTGCTGCATTTCAAACTTACTTGCAATTCTACAAGCAGTTTGAATTTGACTTGGTCTCTACAGTCTATTATTGCTCGAGTCCAGCCTGCATACCTCTTATTCAAAAGAGAAGATAGCAAGTTCCGAAGTCACAGACCAAATGGAGAGTAAAATCTGAGTATTATTAAATGCAATTACTTTTATTGCTGCAGCTTTTGCCTTGGCTATGATGTCAATGTTGATGCCACCAATGACTACCTGATAAGGAAACAGAAATGAGAAAATGTTATTAAGCATTCAGTTGAACTTTGATTTGACTTTTACAGCTCTTCCACTTTAAAGTATGAGTTGAACATTCAAATAAGCAGATAAATTGATCCAAGAATTCAGAGCAACTAGCTGCTCGGGGCCTCCTGTTACAAAAAATTACTTTCCTATCAGATCTTATGCTTTTCTATGGCCTATAATTTAGTGAATAGTGCTGGTTGATAGTACAAATATCCATTATCCAAGACATCTATACAGTGAACATTGAACTAAATCTGAGGTGTCATACACAAGGCCTGTGAGGCGCACCCGGCCATGATGTGATCGGATGCAAACCACGGGGCCATCCTGAAAACTGTAAGGGACTGTCCTGCATCCCTTCAGCCCGGTCTACCCAATGCAAAGAGGAAACATTGGGCCAGTGTGGCTTTGGCCCAGTCTATCCAGTGCGAAGAGGAAACATGCCAGCAGTTTGGACAGTGACATCAAGCTGGCCACGCCCACTCAGTTGGCCATACTTACCCAGTCAACAACGCCCAGTGAATGGCATCATGCTGGCCATACCCACCCAATCACCACCACCACCCCCTTGGGGTCAACCACAGCTCTGAGGCGGCCCTCAATGAAATTGAGTTTGATAATCCTGACCTAAATGATTCAGACATTATCTTTCGTGGTAACAATTAGAATGATCCAGCTCAGCCAATCAATCACGCACCAAAACTCTTGAAATACAGGATTAAGTACTCACTGGCCTTGGCACACTAGGTGTGTTTTCATTTTGAGACAAGCTGCCTCTCCCACCTTGACCTCTTTGGAGCCTGTTCAGGGCTACAGCAATGCGGCTGCCCACTATGGCATTATTCTTGATCAATGCAATATCTGATACCAATTGATAAAGAAAAATGTAACAAGCCAAGAATTGGAACAGTCAGTAAGGTATGGTAATTAGGATATCAAACATGGAACATTGAGATATTAACTTCCTGGGTAATTGTTACAGGGATAAAAAGAGAAGGAATGTTTCACTTCCATGTAAATCACTTTGCATTCTCAGAGAAAAGATGGGATATTTATGCAGTGAATAATAACCATGAAAGAGAAACATGGACCCAAAACACTCAAAGCCCATGCTGTTGTCTAAAGCTGCTTTATGCTTTCTGGAATGGTCATATAGACATTTTTCATTCAACTTTAAGCATTTTGCAAATAGGAATAACTTATCAATCATGACTTTCCTGAAGGAGCCATTTGGATTCATGGTTGTCTGTCTCACAGGTGGAGGAACCATGCCTGCTCCCATACTGCCCTCCATTCTTGCTTTCTGCCTGCTTCCCTTGGCTGCCCACCCTCAGAACAATTTGAGCTGTTTTGCTCCTCCAACTTAGCAAATTAGCAAAAAGATGCTTTGGGTGCAACTCAGTGACTTTTGAAGGACAATTCAGGTAGCAATAGCAACAGCACATAGACTTATATACCGCTTCATAGTGCTTTTACAGCTCCCTCTAAGTGGTTTACAGAGTCATATATTGCCTCCAACAATCTGGGTCCTCATTTTATCCACCTCGGAAGGATGGAAGGCTGAGTCAACCTTCCTTCAATCTGAGTCAACCAGCAATATTGCAGAACTCTATATGGATACTGCAAGAAGAAATCATAAAGTTGCATGGGGGGGGGGGAGTGGTTGAAAAGTTACAGATGATGCTGTGAGATTAGGAAAGGATACTGGACTTCAGTGACTCTCCACCAGATAACTCATTTACCCTCTGCAGCAAAAAGGGTGTAAGCTCCTTTCCTGTGATCTTTTTCCCCCTGTAAGTGGAGCAACAAGCATAGTCATGCATGATTGATAGCTAATCCATTGACAGAATTAGATCATTTGCAAAAGAAAAAGAAAATGAAAAACCCCTTATCAAAATGTTTCTGATTGGGTGGAACTTAGCTGCCCGGAGTCCTTCGGGATTGGGATGCCTATAAATTTAATAAATAAATAAATAAATAAATAAATAATAATAATAACTTTGAAGGAAGTTTCCACAAGGATGATACAATTTTGATGGGAAACACAGTAGGGGATCTCTGATTACATCTGCTCAAACAGTGAAAAGGGTGAATATTGGGGAAAGCAACCTGAACTGGGATCCCAGCATTATTTACCTAGTTCAGGGTTCAGCAACCTTAAACACTCAAAGAGCCATTTGGATCCGTTTCCCACAGAAAAGAAAACACCGGGAGCCATAAAACCATTCCATGACTATTTCCTGAGCAGCCACAGAACTAGCATATGTAATTGAATAAAATGTTCTGTTTTCTTCTGAAATTTTTCTTTTCTTGGATTTATCCATAGTTGACCTACCAGGGGTTGAAAAGCTCAATAAATCGCATGCCGGCAGGTATCACACATTGTGATGCATATTTTGAGTGACAGGGAGCCACAGCAGAGGGATGAAAGAGCCACATGCGGCTCCAGAGCCGCAGATTGCTGACCCCTGACCTGGTTCATTCTGTCCCTGAAGCTGAAATGTTCAATGAATGCAAAACACGAGTATCTCTTCCTTTGAATCATGGCAAGTTTTGAATTGTGTGCAAATGTCCCAGGAAAAAAGATTTAGCCATCTATCAGCATTATGACCTTAATATTGTCTTTCAACAAAATAGTAAGAGATCTGATTGTACTGTAGACAATCCACTACTTTAACTTCTTAACTGTTGCAGAAGTTGGAAAATATTCCTAGGTGTGTGCAAAGGTAAACACCCAAAAACAATCTTCCATGGAGGCAGTGGTATCCATGGGGGTAGGTGGGGGTATTGAATTTGTAGGATAGATGACACAATGTTGCAATCCAACCCTGTCCCTTTTTGGGACCTTGAATCATAATTCGCCATCGTACAGATTTGCTGTTTAGTTAAAATTTAACATTCCTAGAATTTACATTGCTCTGATGCTGAATATTCAAAGGACCAACCTATACAAAACCACTACAGTATATATATGTAACCTGAAATATCAGAATGATCAAGTCCATGTTACACTTGGGAGGTTGGGTGAGGACAAAATAATGAAAGATACAATGTAAAGGAATCTCATGAGCTGATCCATCCATCAATCAATCAGAATAGTACAAAATGAGTTTCAATCAGAATAGAGGTGGGAGGGACCTTGGAAGTCTTCTAGCCCAGCCCCCTACTCAAGCAGAAGACCCAATATGATTTCAGACAAGTGGCTGTCCGTTTCTTCTTAAAAATCTCCAGGGATGAAGCAAGCAAACCTTCTGAAGGCAAACTGTGCCACTGGTTAATTGTCCTCACTGTTAGGAAGTTTCTCCTTGATTCCAGGTTGTTTCTCTCTTTGATTAGTTTCCATCCATTGTTTCTTGTCCTGCCCTCTGGTGCTTTGGCAAATAGCACAATGCAATGTGCTCTACATGGGGCTGCCCTTGAAGAGCACCCGGAGACTTCAGCTAGTCCAGAATGCGGCCGCGC